CCCAGGAAGAATGTCGACTCTCAAGGTTGAGCGCTCACGACACCTCACAATGAGAGGACTCTCAATACAAGACTCACTTCCTCACGGTAAGAAGCAATGAAGAGGGTAGATAAGGAAGGAAGCAACGTACCTCATAATGCTGCCCCCAACCAAAGATTTCTCACCGGCAACTTGATGTTCATTCATGATGACCGGTCTTTGCCTCGGCACAACCAACAGCAGAATGCAGTTCCACCTCGGCTTAAATGCCACATCAGCGAGCTCTCATCATCCAGCGTACACCCCCAATGTCACCACATAGCTTCCTGGTGCGCCCACACGACCCTGGGCCGCCTCACATTCCACGCCCAAGCCTTATCACTGCCCCACACCTCATGCGAACCACCGAACAGCTATTGTGAAGAATCAATGAGCGCAGTTCGAACCAGCTCTGATACCAAATTGCAAGGAAAATGAGCAATGGCGAGATGACAATAATCAGATTGCACAATCACATTGAAGGCCAGATAGTATCACAGTGTCCAGAAAGCAGAAATGCACCAATATAACACCAATGAAGATTCGTAACACTGAAAACCAATGTCAATGAGAGCTTGCTCTCGCCACCACCAACATGAGTGTCCAGCCTACTATCTACACAGCTACTCTCTGCCTACTAATTGACAATGCAACTGTTGACGTCCGCAGCCTCCGAAGTACTTGAAGATGTCACCCATGCAGACTATTGCCAATACCAGGTCTGTGCCCTCACATCATCATCATCATCATCATCATCGTCATCCTTCTCCCTTTCCCTCGTCTTACTCCCACGTCTTCCCTTTGTACACCCGAAGACCACCCCTGCGCCTCACTGTAGTCCAAGCCCAACCAGCTATGGAGGCTGGGCTATGGCGCTGCCCTCAGTAGTGCCCTACTCCCTGCACGACCGCACGCGCTTGCACCTCGCCTCTCAGTGCCAGCAGCAGCCCACGAGCGTCCGCTCCAGCAGCGCTGCTGCTAGCATGCGAGTGCCTGAATGAGGCTGCCGATGGCGAGGTCTTTCCTATATGGAAAGAGCCTCCTGCCTCCGCAGCCTGTCTGGACTGGCCTGGGCCCAGAAGCTTCCGGTAGGCCCCAGGATGCTGCGCTTGTGTCGCAGCCACTGGGTCTTTTTCCGTTGGGCCTCTCAACTGTCAGTGTATGAGGCTGCGATTCTCGCCCAGGGCCTGCATTCTTGGAAAAGCCCAGAAGGCCGTGGAATATCTTTGTTGCTCGGCCTGTGTTTCCCTTCAACCAACTGGCGCGTCACAACTGCCTGGACCCCAAATATGAAATTGACAGCTGAGGGCCTTTCTTGATTTGTTAGGCCTGCCTTCTCTTAGGGCGGGCACAGATCCAACATGGGCCCCTTAGGCCTGCCTAGGACCGAATCCTCGCAAATATCAAGAAAAAAAAAAGAAAGTTTTTTTGGGTCCAGAACCC